CTGGGGAATTCTGGGAGTTGAAGTCCACCCATCTGAAAGTTGCCAAGGTTGAGAAACACTGCATTTGATTAAGATTATTTTAAGGTATGTCCTACAGTTTTTGAATGTTTATCACTTTGTATGGCAAGAACTATGCCACCAATTTCCAGCCTATGGTGATCAAAAGTGGCTTTAGGGGCTACAGCAATGGTGCTTGAAGTCCATTGCACCCCATCCCTCTTCCAGGTGCAGCTTAGGAGTGCAACCAAACTTACTCTTAAAAAACCTTCCTTTTCCTTGAATAATGACTCTGAAATGAATTACTGGACACATCGTACTAAATTGTATTGAGTGAAACTAGGACTGAAAAGATCCAGATACAGTCCTTAACTATGAAACTCGATATATCAGTATCCCCTCCCTATAGCTCTTCAACACATCAGGAGAATGGCAGATTAAGAAAGATTCAGTAAACTTGGTCCTTTTAGTAACAGTTAGCAAAAATCCAACTTTTTGGCAATGAAATGGGAGAGTTTTGCACACAGCCTGAAGCTTCTGGGTGGAAAGGTAGGATATGAAAAATAAATAGCCTGTTCGTCACCTATCTCCACCACAACATTTAATGCTACTCTTACCATCTCTGTCTGAAACTAGAGACAAAACGAGATTTTCATGGATAAAAAGCAGTCTCCTCAAAATCAAGCTTGACTCCTGGTGCCTTTATGAGTAAGATCACATATTTTCCAGCATTTGGAGGCCACCAAGTTAGGAAGGCTGTTTGAAACCAAGCACTAGTTCATTGTGCAAGAACAAGCCTAGTTTTTCCACTTAGTTCATACTCAACAAATGTAACAAACAGTGTAATCCTGGGTCTCTGACAAATATTCCTATCTGATAAACCTGTTTCATTTTTACAGGAAAACAAGAGCTCAGTAGCAGAGCACTTACTTTGCATAAGAGATGCATTCCTGAAATTTCCACCACAGACTGGATAGAACTGGTTTCCAAAACTCTGGACAGCTGTCTATCATCCTACGGTGACCCTGAGTAAGTGAAAGGGGTGTCTTCTTCCATTCCTAAACCACAGTATGTTTCATACTGGAAGGGATTTTAATGCACATATTCTTAAAAGGCAGGTGGCTTGTTTAATGCAAACACTTTGTGTATGATGGTGTATTATGATTTACTGGCCATTATATACTTGGCTAAAGGTAATATATTGATCATCGTAAACAAAATTAAGACCAAGAAGATTGACTGGGAGACTGGAGGGAGGTTGAGTATGGCATGGGGAGGCTTGGAAATGTTACATAGAGCAAAGTCTTACTTGTCTCTCCGACAATCCCAGCGTGGCTGCCAGCTCAGCTTTTCTCCGAATGGTGATGTAACGGCTATAGTGAAACTCCTTCTCCAACTCTAGTCGCTGGTGATCTGTGTAGACCACACGGTACTTGTCTTTCGTCCTGGTTTTCACTGGGAGGAGAGACACAAACCACTTAAAGAAAGCACACTAGCAGCATCGTTGTTTAAGCACACACTTCTGAAGATACATGTAGCCAAAGCGTAGACCATATATAAAATGCCAACTACTTTCTAGCAATCAGAGCTTCTGAAGACAGTGGGAGAGGGGGAAAATCTCCTTTAGAATATAATCCAATTCAAAATAAGATTTAGATTTCTGCTCCCAGTTTCCAAAACTCAGTTGCTGATTATTTTCACCACCTCCCATCCCAACAAGAGTTATTGAAGGTTCCTCCTTTTTCTTACCAGTTCAAACTTTCTAAACCTTCAAATGTCTGGCTCGAAGAGGAAGTGATTTTCAAACAATGAGTGCTTGTAAAAAGCAAGCAGCTGCTGGATTTATGGCCCCCAAACCAAACACACATCCACACAAGCCAGTGTGTCGGAGGGTGGGTTGCACTTTGATTTGTGGGTGTATATTGTAACTGGCCCTGTTACGATCAGTGCTTAGAATTAAAAGCAATTTCTCCCTGAAAATGTACTTAGGAACACAGCTTTCTGCACGGATGATATACACAATGTAGTCCTAACAAATAAGCACTCTTAAGTAATTCTGCACTTAATGAAAGAGACTTAAGTGCATGTTAATTCATTTACAAGATATCCTTGAGACCCTACAAGATATCTTTGAGACCCAGTCAAGGAGGACATTCCCCTGTATGCATAAGACCTACTGAAATAAAAGGAGTTGCACGTGGAAGCTTGGTAATTCATTTCAACAGTGCCTGGGCACAATCCTGCTAAATTATATCTGTGGTGTAGAATATGTCAAACATTCAGTAATTCAAAATGATATCAATTTAAATTAGAACTTTTTTTCAACTAAGAATGATGTCCTAAGAGTTTCAGTAAGATTTATTTCCAAGTCACATTTGTATAGATGATTTGTATTTCTTTGGGTCCAAGTTCTGATCTTCAGAGCACATTCCAATCAGAGTATGGCAGCTTTAATTACCATATATACATGGGTAAACATAATGTTAGCTGAATATGATGTCTTTTGGATGAAGATAGTCTTCTTATAGTTACCTTCAATCTGGCAACCTGTGAGTTAGATTAGTTTAACAAGCTATATTTGACAACTGTCCAGAAAACTGCAGTTAGATGAGAACATAGTCAAGAAATTGTCAGCTCTGAACTAGGAATCTGGAAGCACATCATGCCAATTCTTGTACAACTGTACTCATTCTTGCTCCATTTCTTGGCACAAGTTGAAATGCTATTATTATTCTTTAAAGCCTTTCATAGCTTAGGTCTAGAATATCTGGAGAATTTGAAAAACTCCCCACCTCTGTATTAATTTTGCCCATACACCAAAATTATACCTGGTGGTATTTTTCTAAAGTAATGTGGTGTTTGACCACCAGATTAGAATTCCCCCCTGGTGGTGACATCCAACTATGTAGGTTTGCCTGGAGTCAGGTGAAGATTCATGATGTTCTCTAATCTTGAAGAAAAATGAATTTGCTTAATTGTGGCACTAATTCCTATTCTGTTTATTTATTCTTACAGATCCTTGCATTAGTAATGAGTAACATTAAAATTTTGACATTAAATCTTGCACAAGTTGCCCAGAAAAAAATGCTATTTGAAAGGTGTTTTCTAGGTGCAATAATAATAGCAATAGTAGTAATGATGAAATAAAATGATTGATGGTGCTTCCCCCACTCATATCAATGGCCATAAAATCTTCTGCACTTCCTTCTAATCATTCTGCCACAGCTGAGGATATCCACAACACTCATAGCAAAAGGACTCATTGTTTTGAATTTGGACAATCTGCCTATCTGGGTGGTGTATCAGGCCCTTACTCTCGTTGATCTTAGAGATTTTAAAATATTTCATTTCAGTACTGACACTTAAGAGATGTAGCATCAGGAAGCAATTTCAGTTCACAGGAAGAACTGAAGAAGACCAAGAAATAAAAAAATGGAAGGTGGGACACTTGGAAGTTCTTGCCAGGACTTCCTTTCCCAACCTGGCAATCCAGTCATTTGAACGATGTATTTTGACAACAGTAGCAGCAGCTACCTTGACAGAGTTTTCCATAAACTATGTTTCTCTCTCTTTGTGTTGGACTGTTGAGTCTGAAACCCTTCCTGGTTCTCTCTTTCTAAATCAAAACTGGCTCAAATCCCTTGGAGAGGGCAACTTGCCGATCCCGCAGCTTTTTCAGCCTCTTCTTCTACCCCGGGACTCTTAGGGTCGTTTGTCAAGAAAAGTTTGTCCGAGAGGAAAGGAAGGAATCGCGGGATGACCCGATACCGACCCGCGGTTTCCCCGGCTAACTCCACCACCGCGGCCCCGAGCCGCTTCTCCTATTTCGGGTTCCCCGGGTTCTCTTGCAGCGTTCCTTCCCCCTTCGCTTCCCGCCTCCCCGCCCAGCCAAGATCAGGGCGTCCGCCCGGGCGGCCCTGTCCGTACAGGCCGAGGCTGGCTCGACGGGACCAATAAAGCCAGGCCTCAAAGCGCCGCTGGTGCAGCCCCGCCGACCCGAGCGGGCGCCCCGGGGGACCGGCGGCCGAGCGGAGGAAGGGCCACCGCAGCGCCTAGAAGCGCGCCGCAAGGCCGTCTGATCAAAGCGCCGCATCGCAGCCCCCGCACCGCAGCCCGCGGCGTTTAGCCCAGGCGGCGCTATCGTCGCCCACCGGTTTTCGGGGGCCTCGGCAGGGAAGGCGCGCGGAGGCCGGCGCTCGGGAGAGCGGGGAGCGATTCCTCTTTCGAAGCAAGAACCGCGCGCCGGAGTGAGGGAAGAAGATGTTTTCCTGGATGTCGAATTACGGAGGGGGGCGCTTTTTTAGGAAAAGACGGTGAAAGGCAATTGCGCCCGGTTTCGCGCGACACGTGGTGGCCGCCTCCCTCCAGGATATAGTCCAGGATTTAAAATAGTTGGTTCTATATTTTTCATTCAAGATAGGTTGCTTAAAACAACGCCACCCCAGGAGTTCCGTCCTTATTTTGGTTTCCACGCGGTCTCGTTTGCTGAGCCCCTGACTTCTGTGGATCAAAATAACGCAGTGAAAAGGGGTTTCCCAAGATGGGGAAAATTGAAGCCCCATTTGCCAAGATCCCATCCCATTTTAGCCAGATTGCCTGAAAATTAGGAATTAAGGAGATGATCCCAAAATGTCATCTGCTCCTCTACACCCCCTGTGATTTAAGCCATAAAGAGGGGGTGGGGGGTGGGGGTTGCCTGCTCTCTCTCTCTCCCTCTCTCCTTTTCATACATACTGTATACATTTTCCATTCAGGTAAATTTCTTAAACACTGAAATATCAGAATTTTTATATCTATGAAATGACGACTCTAAATATGGGCAAATCATACTTCCTCACACCACCGAGAAACTTCAGTGCTGACGAAAACAACAGTTTTTGACAGGCAACAACTTGTCCAAACTACATAGGATCATTGTCCTCATTAAAACAACTGAGGAATTACAGGATCGATACAAATACATTCACAAAAATCATGAGGTGCATTTGGCATTGATCTCCCTGTAGAAGAGGTTTGGAAGATTTCTGACTATATAAGAAGATAGGCTGCTATTTCTGAATGGACATGTTTGCTTTCCTTTTCTTTCAACAGATAAATAAATAAATAAATAAATAAATAAATAAATAAATGCCGTTGCGCTTTTTAGACATCTGCAAATACCAAGCCCCAACTGAACAGATTGTGCTATTTTCCACTGATGGTGGGAGAGACTCTTAGCCTTTGGATATTTTGCCTGATAGGATGGAACGCATGAGGAGGGAAGGAAAAATCATCGTGAACCAGGACTGGGGAGCAAGAGGACCTCAAGATATTGCTGGAATTCAGGCCTCGTGATCTTGGGCAGTTTTTCAAGCCAGAAACGGTTGAGGGAAATTCAAATCAGTCCATTTCTGGAAGATCAGAATTTTGCTTTAGCAGATAAACAAGTCGAGAAGGCACATATCCATCCAGACAAAGAGAGGAAGAAATCAACTGGGTCACAGAGTGAATCCAGAAGAAACTAACTTTGTTAGGATTTCCCAACCATTTCGGTAGAAGACTGAAGATAAAAACAAATTCTAGGAGCCTCTTCTGGAGTGGATTGGTAAGTATGTGTTTACACTTAAAAGTAAACAGTCCATTTTACAGGGATTCCTTTTCTTTCTTTTCTTTTCTTTTCTTTGGCATAATCCTATGAATGCTTATTGAGAAATAAATTTCAAAGGGATCAAGTGAGTTTTTATTACAGGGAAATAGGTGTAGTAGTTATTAGTGCCACAAAAAACTTGTTCTCTTTTGATTTCTTTGGCTATTTAGAGCTAAGACTTGCTAAATGCTGTTTCACTTTAAAGGATAAAATATTTTAAAACTATAACAACAGTATTTTTAAATACAAAGTATATGAGATACACACAATATACAATATCCATACATTTGATTACAGCAAGCAAACATATATATATAGAGAGAGAGAGAGAGAGAGAAAACTTGTTTGTATGCGGGTATAGATATGCATTTGTGTACATGATACACAATATGATGCCTTCCACTTTCATGACCCTTAAGGGGAACCACTATAGGATTCATAAGGGATGACTCTAAAAATCAAGCAGTTTATTGGGGTAGGAGTCTGAAGAGACATGATCCCCTCCCCCTGCTGATCTGCTAGAGAGCATTTTGTGATCTACCCAGAACCAGCCCTCTATAGTCATGGCACCCCCCTTCTTCTGCCTAAAAAAAGGGGGGCAGGTCTGGAAAGGGCATGATATATTTCAGTATTGACTGTGAAAGTCTGTCTTCTGCCTTGTTCCATTCTCTTCTTTTCCGGGGAGGGAAAAGTAGAAAACAATAGTGAGGAAAGGTGTAGATCAAAGCAAGATGAGTTTCCTCCCCCAGCAGTGAGGGATGGGGGTGGGTGGGGGGCTGCCTAGGAGGAGATTCCGGGCTCCAAGCAGCGCCACTGTTATCATCACAAA